GCTGCAGAAAGAAAAGCTTTGCAGAGAGTGGTGAAGGCTGCACAGAAATCTGTTGGAATCAGTCTCCCCACCATCACAGACATCTACACCTCCAGATGCAGGAAGAGGGCCACCTGCATCATGAAGGACCCCACCCACCCAGCACACACACTTTTTGCCCCACTCCCCTCAGGAAGGAGGTTAAGGAGCATTAAGTGTAGAACCACTAGACTGAGGAACAGCTTCTACCCTGAGGCTGTTAGACTCATGAATCTCTAACTAGAATAATCACTGTGAAAAACCATATCATGTTGCTGCTGATCTGTTTCGTGTTGCTGCTGATCTGTTTCAATGTTGGTGTGTTCATGCGTGCACATCTGCTCACAGACTCATGTTCATGTTTGTGCTGATGTTCAATGTTTTATGTTATGAGTGCTTAGTGTATATTTAGTTGATGTTTTTCTTAGTTCATATCTTAGATGTTATTACTGTTTTTCTTATACATTTTATTGTTGGATGTAACTGGGACCCTGTGTACATAATTTCGTTCCACCACATGTACCACATGAGGTGCGAATGACAATAAAGAAACTCTGACTCTGACTCTGAACAGATTTGTCTCACTGTTTTGCAAGAAACTTGTCAGTTTTGTCTCTTTCTCACCCTTAATTAATGCATAATAAGCAGTTATTAACGATTTATAAAGTGTTTATAGAGGAATTAATAATGTGTCTATAAACTATTTATTAGCATCTATAAGGGGAAAATTATTGTAAAGTGGTATCAAACTTTTAATTAAAACGATTTTAAGTTGAAAGAGGAAAGTCTGGCAACTTTGGAGGAAAATATAAAGAAGTGACAGTCTTCATTTCCTCATTTTCATGTTCTCATGCTTGGATGTGGGTTCCAGTGTGTCCCAGTAATTTCGTCCATACCTTGGTACATTACAATCATCCCACTGCTCACCGTCCTCACCGTAAGAGGGCTCAAAGACCTCATCACGGACATGGTAAGACCATGAAGATAATTTTCTTGCTACATGTCAAAGCCTGAGCTGCATGGATCGCTCATGGTCTCAGAATACAACCAGCCTCATGCATTATGATTTTGACTGTTCAGTCTATTTAAGCTCCCGTTCCTCTCCTTCATTGTCCTCATTGACTCCTTGTCCTCTCCTCATTGACAAACCCAGTCATCCCCGCAGCATTAATTTTCTTTCCTATCATTAAAGCTTTTTCTTTTAAATGCAGGCGTGATGTTTTGCATGGAGAATTCTCTGGTTAAGTGCATCACTGAGTTACGGTCGTTAACAGCTCTGGGTGAAACGCTTACTTGACCCCTCTTTATTGACTAATCATTTAGTGGAGGGCGTAAATCTCCCAGCTGGTGTCACTGTAGAGCCCCATAATGGCATCTCTCCTTCTTCCTCTCTCCTGTTCAGTCTTTCATGGCCACCCTCATTCCCTCTCTCAATGCTCCTTGTCCATCACTCTGATCCCTTCTCCTCGTCACCTGTCTCCATCTTTCCTCTAATGCTCTTTTTCACTCTTTCCACTTGTCTCTGTTTGTCTCTCTGTCTCTGATTCAGGGAAGGAGACGCTCTGACACTGAGATTAACTCTCGACCCTGTGACGTACTCATCTCCCAGAGGTGAGGACAAAGACACAGGGTTATTCTCTCAGGAGTCAGCACAGCTCCATTTTGAAACAAACCACTAATGAATCTCCAATGAAGTGTAAACCACTGGATTCCTGGATGGTCCCTTCAATAATTAGAGCAAGGCAAAACAAAGTATTTTCTGTGTGGATCAGAGGACAAACCTCTTCGTAATCAGGAATCGTCTTCAAATTGTCCTAATCACAATAAATAAATAAACATTTTCTGCAAAATGTCATTTTTATTGGGCTTCACCAAACATGTTAGCTATGCAAACTAATGTTTTATACCTATAAAAACAAAAAGAATGAAAATCAGCTGCTGCCGTTTGCACATTTTTTAAAGAGATGAAGTACCAGTTTTGTTTTTGATTTATGTACTCTATGCATATCTATGTTTACTGCTTGTGAAAATGTAACAAACTATTTCCATAAATTTGTCAAGCAAATTAGAAATGCAAATTGTATTTTATATAACATATTTCTCTTAGTTTCAGCACAAAGCAGTGGAAAGATTTGTGTGTGGGAGATGTGCTGCGGATCCACAAAGACCAAGTCATCCCTGTGAGCCCCTGAATTTAGAAAATATGAAAACTAACAGCTCTATAAAAGTTTGATTGTTTTGTTGTAAGTGAGCTATGTGATGGAAAAATGTTTAACATTCCTATTTTTAGCACAAGAGCTAGAGTTTTATTTTGTTTGGACTCAGGTTATCAGTTTGCATCAGTAACAATTCGCAATCTAAATCATCCATTGTGTGTGTGTGTGTGTGTGTGTGTGCGTGCGTGCGTGTGTGTGTGCATGCATGTGTGTATCTGTGTGTGTGTGTGTTTAAATCTTTCCTTGCTCCTAGGCAGATGTTCTTCTTCTATGCAGTTCAGAGCCTCACAGTCTGTGTTATGTGGAAACAGCTGACATTGATGGGTACAAAAATATAATTTTCAAGATTCTTTATTGTCATTCGCATCACGTGTGGTACATGAGGTGGAACAAAATTGTGTACACAGGGCCGAGTTACATTCAACAATAGCAACAATATAACGTGTAAAAAGAAACAGTAAATAAGGATCTAAAATATAAACT